TTTTCAAGCAGTATTTCCTCTGCCTGTGTCTTCGGTCACCTTCCCTTATTCTAGAGAGAGTCCACCAACTTTTCCGGAATTTTGTTGCATTTGGAGAAGATATATTTTCTCAAAATTGTTCTTGAGAAGAGAGGGGTGTGGAATGTTCTGGGTATGTTGGTCTGTGGGACAGAAGGTTTGTGGCTGCATTTCCCTTACCTGTTACTCTCCTCACCTCACACATACTTTGTGTCATTTAAGCCCCTGTCTTGTGTGCTTCTGAGCATAGCTGATACTCAGCTTCGAGGAATTTATCTTGGCGTAAAAAGTATTTTGGTTTAGGATAGAGTGGAATAAGTTAGTTCCTCAGTCTCTGGAAGGACTAGGAGAAAAAGACGTCTAGAGACCCCATGGGTGGAACCTAATATTTTGTCTGAAAACACATAGTAGTAAGAGCAGGCGAATTAGAAATCTGTCTTTGTCACCTACCAGCTCTGTGATCTTGGACAGGCTATTCACCTTTCCAAGGCTGATTTCCCACCTGTACAGTGGGAATGGCAATTCCCTCAAAATTTCGTTTTGAGGATTAGATGAGATAGTATATGTAAAGGACTTAGCACATAGAATGACTATCTAATAACTAAATGGCAGCTGTTATTGTTAGTAGTTGTCTTATGTGTGGAGACTTCGTTGATGGTGCTCGAGATAGAATATGAGGAGTGGGTTCAACTCATGACAATTACATTCCTTGAAGAATCGCATGCATTAGATGCGTTTCATGTGGAGATGTAGGAGTTTTGCGTCAAAGATCTCCTAAACTTTTGTTCTCCCAAAACTTTTTCTCCCAAACCTTCTCCGCCAAAATCCTGGCCTTTTCATCAGTTGGCATATCCTCCTCAGAGGTGGGCCTGCCCCACCTTTGATAACTTGTTACACTTATTTTCTCGTTTTCTTCTCTGCATCTGGAGAAGCTTGCTGTGAATATTCCCTACCTCTGTAATCACCCTAGAGGATTCCAGGACCTTTCTGCACCTCAGATGATGTCGGAGAGTTGGCTCTGGGACCCAGGCTTGCTCCCAAGTCTTGCTGGCTGCCACTGCTGGCTTCCCCAGCAGGCAGCTGGAGGGGAGAGTGTGATCACTCCTGGGAGCCAAAGTGAGGCCCTTCTCACCAGCGTTTGAGTGAGTTCTGGGAAGCAGGGAGATGGCTCATTGAAGCACACAGTGTGGGGTTCATTGACGTACAGAGGGCACCTTTCATCCTTGGGATGTGCAGTTTCACCAAATTTTAATAATTACAACGATGCCTACCATTCATGAATGCTTACTACATGCCAAATGTGCATGGAGTAGTCATTTATAACCCTCCTTTTTCCAGTAAGGAAATTGGGGCTTTTGGTACTGATAGAACACGCCCAGCTTTCTGTCTACTTCTTACGACCTCTTGTTTTCTTTCCTGGTGTGTAGAAAATTTCTCAGTATCAGTGTGTGAAGACATAGGCAGGATGGGTGTAGTGGAAAGAGTGTTGAACTGTAAGTCAGATTCTAACCCCCCTTCCCTTCCGCCCTTCCTCCCACCCTTCCTTTTAGTTTATAAGATCTGGGGCTTGGCCTGGAGAAAGTGACACTGTGATGTGGTGACTAGGCTCCTGAGCTTTGGCCTCACACACTCTCCTGGCTCTGCTGTTTGTTAATCCAGGGGCCTTGGGAAGGGATGTCCTCCTCTGAGCCTCACTTCCCTTACCTAGGGATAGTAACTGTCCCCTTCCTCTGTCGTGGGAACCAAGTGACATAACACATGGTAAAGTACCTGGTGAGTATCATTACATGTGAGCTAAGAATTAGAGATCGCAGTGGGGAGGGTACAGCTCATGCCTAGCATTCGTGAGGTCCTGGGTTCAATCCCCAGTACTTCCATTAAAGAAAATAAAACCTAATTACTCCCCACCTCAAAAAAAACCCCACCAAAATTAAAAAAAAATAGAGATCATTTATGTTATTCTTTCTCAGACATTCTTGTTTTCCCTTAATGAGTTGGTGGTTTTAAAGCTCTTTCTTTCTGAGGGGAGTGTCACAGACTTTGTGGAGAGTCTGGCAGGTGCTCTGGATTCCCTTCCCAAGAAAGTGCATGTTCACCCCAAATCATATTCGGTTTCAGAGGGCTCAGGACCTTCTAAAGCTCCTTGTCTGTGAACTCCAGAAGGAAACCCCCTCTCCGAGGGACCTTTCCCTACCTTCCCTCTGAGCCCTGGACCTTCGCTGAGGCCGACGTGCAGAGGAGCCCTCCCTGAAGACTGTGGGTAGACTTTCTTTTCCTCCTCTGCCCCACGTGCTCACAAGCAGCCTCCTGCTGTCACGGCCCTGGCGGTGCTGCCCAGGACACACGGCAGGAATGTCCTTCAGGAGTGAGCTGCCTGGGGAGCAGGGAAAGTCGGTCCTTGTCTTCCTGGCTGGATTATTTCAGGGATGAGAGAGGGATGAAGAGGGAGGGAGACTCTGGGATCCTGGGTATTGACGGCCTGCTCTGTGCCAGGAACTGTCCCTAGGTGCTTCGCAGTCCTGATTTCCAGCCCGAACAAGAACCCTACCAGGTGGATGCTGCTCTCACTCCCGCTTTACAGATGAGGAGACAGGCTGAGAGGCGTTAACTGAGAAGGGCACGCGGCAGAGGTGGGAGTCGGGTCTGCTCTGTCCTGGTGATGGAGCGCCTCTGTGCTGTACTGTTTCCTGAGACAGAGTCATCTTCCAGGGTAAAGGGCAGCTTCGCGCCCTTCGCTGTTGCCAGAGGAAATGCTCTTCCTCCTGGGAGCTAGACATCCGCGCATGCCGGCTTTGTTATGTGCTCTCCGTGGCCTCCATAGTGCTGAGCTGCACATGTGTATTTTTAGAAAAGGAAGAGACTTCTGTGTCTACTGTTTACGTATAGAGACATACCAGCTTCTGAATACTAAAACCAGCTCAATCAGCCGAGTGTCAGCCCTGGTTGATGTGCCGATGCTGGTGGCTGGGCTCCGGGCTGGCCGATATTTGCTGTGATGGCTTGAGGGACAGGACTGACCCTCGGGTCTCTTTTCTTGATAGGCTGAGCGCTGAGTCCCCACAAGGATCTGTTTCTGCTTTCCCCTGAGTCTGGGCTTGCCACCAGCACAGCTCTTGGCTTGTCGGCAGCTGGTTAGGTGCTGTCCTTTTCTTCCATTTCCCTGTTAGCATTTTTCCCCTTTGTATCTCCCCACTCACTGGCCTTCCCCGCCTCCCCCCGTAATATCAACTTGATTTTGAGTTCTTGTTGTCAAAGAGGTGTAATTCATGTGCCACACTGAAATTGGCCCCCTAATCTAAATATAGAGCCATGCACTGGGTTGCTTGGAGTTCTCAGGGCCAAGCTGCCACTCCTGGAAGCAAGGGCAGTGCACTGCAATGTTGGGGTGCCTCTGTGTCCCCCTTGTCTGCCCACATTTATAGCCGGCACACACCAAATGCTCTGTACGTGCCAGGCGGTGGCTCCGTGGATTATCTGTCCGCTCCTCCCATCAGCACTCTGAGGGTAGTTCTGGGACCATCTGGATTTTCCAGATGGGAAGACTGAGGCTTGGATGGGGCTGTGACCTGCCCAAGGTCATGGGCTAGGGTCGTGCCGGCGTTCACATGGGAGCTGAGGTGAGAGTGCCAGGCAAGGATGAGTCAGCTCAGAGCACAAGAAGGGTGGGGTGTGCCACCTGGAGGTCCGTCTTACTGCTCCCAGGAGGCTGTCCTTTGGTGTGGCACAGGTGAGCTGGCATTTCAGGTCCTCCTGAGGATTGGTCTCGTTGACCTTCTCGGCTCTGACAAAGAGGATTTGGATGGGATTTCCCTCCAGTGGGGATTTTGACTTAGTGAGGGAGGCCTCAAAGCTGGGGCTGCTGCTCCTGGGAGGCGCTGGGTCATTCCTGCTGCCCCGCCGCAGTGACCTCCCCCGCCGTCCCCTTTATATCCACACTGAACGCTGTGTCTGAAAGACTCTGGGGAGAAGAGGCTACATTTTGTGCTGTCTTGTGAGGACCTATATATGGATGCTCAGTAGCCACTTGTTGGACACTTCCCTCTCTTATTTGGTAGTTTAGCTGATACCCTTCGTTCTTTTCATTTCTTTCATTAGTATGATTAAAGCATACACATGTGTCAGTAGCTCCCCCTTAAAGGAAGCTACCTCTCTGGGGACAGAAAGGCCCAGACCCAGCCAGCGTGCTAAGGACTTTCCCTGTATTATCTCAGCACAGCCCTGTGAGGTCGGTAGGAAACGGAAGGCAAGAGGGGCAGCAGAGCCTAGTGACTCAGAGAGGGCCTGGGTGTAGGACGAGATCCTCTGCTGTGCTGCCTGGGCAAATCACTCAGCCTTTCTGATCCTCTGTTTTCTCGTCTGTGAAAGAAGGATGACAGTGCCTGCCTCATAGGATTTTGAGGATCCAGTGAGACAGTGGTTGTAAATTTCACAGTATTTCTCTGGTTCACTGTAAGAACTCAGTAAAAGGTGGCTATTTCTTCTTTTATTATATTAGGTATTCTTATCTCCTTGTTTTAAAGATGCAGAAACTAAGCCTTAGGGAGGCTGTCCCAGCCCAGGTCACACTGAACACAGCAGGATACAGTATATAGTAATATGTATTGTAATATACAGTAATGTATTAGCTGCCATTAAATGCACAGAGTGCCACGGAGAGGTTCAAGGGAGGGCAGTGGGACTTGCTTTGTGTGGTTGGAGGGAGATGCTGCAGGCAGGCTGGCGTGGCATCGGGTAGGACGTTGTGGAGGTGATGCACTGGAAGGATTGGTCCATCTGGACAATGGGAGACGGGGAAGCTACACATTGCTGGTGGAGGGACCAGCAAGGGCAGGTGCTCGGGAACCCTGGGAACCCTCTGATTCAGAGCAGAAGCAGGGCTGTGTCAGCCCTAGGAGGGTGGGGCCTGGGCTGGGTTCGTTCTGACCTAGAATAGTGCCTGCACCTGGGAGAGGCTCTGTACAGAGTTGTTCAGTCCAGCTGAATGGCAGCATCTGGAGAGGGTAAAGCTTCAGTTAGTACAGAGGAGTGACTTGGGAGACAGGAATTTTGAAACTCAATTGGAGAAGTTGATTTCTGCCCACGGTGCGACCTGGGATTGTTTTTTCCTGCTGTAAAACGCCAGCTCTCTCAGCCACCGTACCTAAACTGTAAGTCACTCTGGACACTAGTTTTTGTTTTACCTGGACTGTACATAGATACTCCCTAAGCTGTTGGTCAGCATTTTGATGGTAATAGGAGATTGTAGCACTGGGTGGTCACCTGTCTCCCCAGGGTCATTTAAATTTGAGACCATAGAACCTTGAGCCAAGGTTTACTTGTTTGAAGTAAATATCATGGGTGGTCCTGTGGTTTTCCCAATCATGTTTCCCTTCTTTACTCTCTTCCTGTTTTTCCTTCTTTTCCATGGTCAAGTTCTCACCATAGGTGGTTCTCAAGACTTAGCTCATCAGCCAAGGCAGATGCTCCTCCCTTTATGTCATGTAGGTGTTGGACAAAGGTCATGTTCAAATCTCTGTTGTGTAGATGGTGTGGATGCTGCCAAGGTGAGTCCCTTGTGAAAGAATCCTGCCTACAATGAGTCCTTTGCTAAGCAAAGAATGACTTTAGTTTTGAGCATCTTTGCCCTGACATCTGGTCCTTTGTGAGGTTTTCACCTTGGGTTTTCCTAGAGCAGGCTCCAAGACAGGGATCTGCCCCGTCACTGTCTGTGGTCTAGCCATGACTTGCGGGACTTAACCAACGTATTTCTGATCCATGGGCCAGCAGGCCTTCCTTCCCTCCTGTTTGGTTTCTTGGTGTTATTAAGAAACAACTGTCAGAAGATAAATATTGGTGTGTTATAGGTCCCAGGAGCAATTAGTTATCTTTGCACTAAATTGGTTTTAAACTGGAGGTAATGATCCAGGCTCATCCTTTACTAATCGTCCTCGCCGTGCCATTTATCGGTCCCTTGCCGATTCCACCCCCAACTCCAGCTGGATCTACAAAAAATGATTTATCACCGTCTTCTCTGAGCCACAAACAGCATTTGAAAACGGGGTAAAGGATGGGAATGAAGGTCTCCAGTTTTGAAGAGTGTTACAAAAGATCGAAACCTTTAAGAAGGCAGGAGCTTTCATCTTTGCTGAGGCAATTCAAGCAGGTTTTCATGGTGAGGTAGGTGTGGGCTCTCTCCTCTCTCTAGTTTCCTCACCCTTCAGCAAGTCTGGTTCCCGTACAGAACAACAACAGCAACAACCAAAAAAACCACACGGCTTCAGAGTAGGTGCAGCCGCACCTTTTGTCTCTCCCCTCCCCACTCACATTTGTGTCGGCTTGTCTTCCAGAAAGGTGAGCGGTGCTCTGGAAGGTGTTCATTTTCAAGTATTCCCCGCCACATGGTTCTGAATATCACATGCTCTGTGGTTGAAGACATGGTTAATCAGTGACACAGTCAATCAGTGGCGAGAACAGCCACCCTCCTCTCCAGGGAAAACCTGCTGGTGCTCTTAAACCTCGCCCTCTTGGTTGCAGTAGTAGTCCAGCCTCTCTGGATGCTCGCTCTGTTACTTTAGTGCCCAGAGCACCCCGGTTCCCCTGGGGCATCATCAGACTCTCCTCCTTTCCCAGTGGCATGTTTTCCTCTTTGTCAGCAAACATGCTGAAGTCTTTACTATCTTTAAAATATGGGGGGTGGGCAATCCCAATAGAACTTCCCTTTGTACTTTTCCTGATTATGTGCCATTCTGTGCTGCTGCTGCTGCTTTCATAGCTAGACTGCTTGAGAGTATTCTGTGTTTACTGCCTCTACTCCTTCACCACCCAAAGCCCTGAAATCCAGCTTCTGCCCACAGTTCTCTTTGGGCCTGTAGTCACAAAGGTCCGCGGGACCCCCCAGGTGATGAAGCCAGCGATGACCCGTAGCGTTCTTATTTCTCCAGGCTCTCCTTTGCTTTCATTGACATGTGCTCTCCAGGCTTCCATTATTCCTTCTGAGCATCCCTTCCTAGCTCACTGTCTTTGTCCCATGGGTCTCCCGGGGTTCCTGACCGCCTTTGCTTCCCAGACCAGAGGGCCAGACTCTTTCTGTTGCTCATCTCTCAAGTTCCTGGCTTCAGCCGTCACCACTGGACATGATTCCCAGACGTCTCTCCAGCAGCCTTGGCTCCTCTCCTGATCTCCATCATCCTGAGGTCCAGAGAAGCCAGGAGATCTGCCTGACTCATGTATACTTCTAAAGTCCATTCTGCATAGGCAGATGCCCCCTCCCTGACCTTGGAACCATCTTATGGTTCACTTTGGCTAGAAAGCTAGAAAAGGAATTGTACTCTAGCAATAGTTTGGATTTGCTGGTTGACCTCCTTCCAGAGCTCGATGGAGTTAGGAGGGGGAAATTCTTTTCTTTTTTACGTGACTTAATTAGCATACGGAAAACCTCACATGTTAGATTGTGCAATTTGGTAAATTCTGGCATCTGTATACACCTGTGAAGCCATCACGACTGTATTATGAGAATTCTTAATGCCTGTCTCAGAAGTCTTTTATTTCTTCCTGACTGACAAGCCGCTTCCTGCTCTGCCTTGCATGTGGTTCACTGCCTCATGGGGAGAGAGGGTCTGCTTCTGTCCTCTTCATGTCATTCCTTTCCTGCTGCCACCTGCATTTTCAGCATTCTTTCCACTGAAGTTTAGAGGATTGTAGTGTGTGCTTGTGTCTTTGTTGAGTGTCTGTCCACACTAGGCTGCAGATTGGGGAGCACAGAACTGTGAACAGCGTGCTATTTTCATTGTGGCCATCAGTCCCCAGCACATAGGAGGCGCTCAGTGGAGAGGTAAAGGGTGAATGAATGAACTATTGCCAGAGTAGATATATGGTGCTGTTGGGCCTGAATGGGGAGCAAAGGAAAGTGAGCTGTTCACAGAGACTCAAAGTTATTCTTATCTTCAGCGGAGGGAAATCAAAGGGACAGAAGGCCTCCTAAGGTCTGGATGACTTTAACTTCATTACTGACGTGAGACCAAGGAGAGCCTGGGAAGGCAGGGAATCTAACCTGACAGAAGCCAGACCCAAATATGAGGCGCACAGGGACCTCTTCTGTCGTTTTGAGACCCAGCTGTTCTGTGCGAGGGTAAACATTTATGTTAGGGCTCTGTTAGTTTGTTTGTTTTTATTGCAAACTGTTTTCCTACTACAGGTTGCCATGGAAGGGGGCTTTAACTGGGTGTGCTTTCAGAAGGACCCCCAGATCCCCTTTTTTCTCTCCAGCTTGTGGTGTATCCTCCCCCACTTCCCCACCATAAGTGACAATGAATTTTTCGGAGTCAGCTCTGATTCTCCGAGCAGTCTCTCCGAGGCGCTTAAAGTAAGAATTATAAAAATAATAATTAAAAATGACATAACTACATAAACGGTTTGTGGCGTGCATTTTGGCAAGAGTCAACATTTTAGAGCAGTAAATACTCACCATGGTGGGGAAGAATGAGCAAAACAGGCTTTTGAAACCCCCGTTACAGACAGAAAGGGGAGGGGTGGGAAGCAAGAGAGCATATTTGTGCTGGTGAAGCTGATTTTCTACCAAATGTTTACAGAAGAGGTGGCTACCAGGTTCACTTGGAATTATTATTTCCTTCAGATGCTAGGAGGCAGCTGGTTGTTTTGGGAGGAAATGAGGTGGTCCCAGAGGTCCCACTTAAAGAAGGCTCTGGAGGTTTTTGCACTCTTC